TTCTGCTCCATAGCACATGGGGTCACCATCAATCAGAATTGACTCTATGGCAATGGCTTTTTTCAACTGGGAAATGTGGCTGAGCTGGTTTGGTGACAGAACACTGTATCACATATGGCTTATTTTAACATTTTTGATACTGCTCAAATGTCACTTATTTCTGGGAGTTAAAAAATGTTGGGTCTACCTGTGAATAAATTAATCATTAGAACCATGGTGATAACGTTTAGAGAGAGGTGAATTAATTTTTTTAAAACCTCAGAATATAAATAACTTAAAAATCGTTATGTTGATACTTTGAGAAGTACCCACAGGTGAGTTAATTTAATTTAAAATCATGTGCTTTACTTGGCTAATCAGAGTATGGTCCAGGACCACTGGGGAGCTTGTTAGAAATACAGACTCTCAGACCCCTTCCCAGACCTACTGAATCAGAATCTGCATTTTAAACAGATCCGTTCGTGAGTTGTATGCGTGTTCAAGTCTGAAAAAATACTGCTTTACTTCATAAGCAAAATCAGTTTGCACATTGAACATTGTGAACTTGAAGAAGTCATAATGCAGGAGATGGCAAAACGTTCATTATAAGATCAACTCTCAATTATCTGTTTAAGATTACATATTCAGAAATAATTTTACTATTTTTACTTGCATATAATTATACTAATGTTCTGGAAAATCTTATTTTGTTGAAAAACAAAACCAGATCTAATAGAAAGTCAAAAGCTGTGCAGCTTCCTTATCCTGCCTTACCTTCCAGGTCCTGCTCTAAGGCCACGTTTGGACACTCACTCATTAGGCTGGAGTACAACACCAGTCTGAACACTTCTCATCTTGAGATCTGCTTGACTCATACGTGGTCTGTAGTTAGAAGAAGTAATTAAATAATCTGACTTAAAACAGTCTTATTGGGCTGCAAATTGCATTTGGAGTAGAGAAAAATAGAAATGGTAATAATGTTAATAAAATACTTAAATACAGTGTGTGACAATGATGTTGATAATTTGTTTAGCGCTTACTGTGTGTCATGTAGTGTGCTAAGTATGTTACTTGCATTATCTCATTTAATCTTCACAACTACCTGTTGAGAGAGCCACTATTATTATCCTCATTTCTCAAATGAAAAAATGGAAGCCTAGAAAGGTGAAGTTACCCACCCATGTGAGATGGCAGCCGGTAGCAGAGGCAGGCCCCAAGCCCAGGTTTGTGATTCCCCATAGCCCATGCTCTCAGCTCTCAGCCATGATGTTAAACTGCCTGATGTGTTAATGTCAACAAGGATGAAAGTGTTGTTAATTATGACACCTCATCATGTGCACAACATGTGGCAGTGTTCAAGAGTTAACAATAGGCTTAACATTGTCCACTGTAAATGTTTAGTTCCTGTCCTGAAAATAATCACTTGTTTGTTTCAGGAATTAGTGAATCCTATCAGATGGGAATTTTCCGAATACTTGCTGGCATCCTTCACTTAGGCAATGTTGGATTTACATCTCGAGATTCAGACAGCTGCACAGTACCTGTAAGTTCAGGATAAGCTTAGTATAATGACAGTTGAGTTGTGTTTTGGTTTTGTTGGTTCTTATTTTATGGAAACAATATATTTATGACCAGAGGGATAATTATCAGAGAGCTGTAGTCTCCAAAGAAGAATCTTAAAGTGTGAATAAAGAAATATGGATTATAATATTTGGTGCACAGTGATTGCGTATGTATGTGTGTATGTGACCTTGGATATAGCTCTGATTTCTGTAACAGAGGTGGGAAATATTAGATGTGAAGGTTGGATCATTGAGTCTATAGCAAAGGGTTCATTTGGCCCATGACACAAGCACCAAAAGTTGATAACCTTGTTTCAGCTGTGGAAATGTAATATGGTTTAAAAATTATTGAAGAAACTGTTCATAGTGGTACTCCTGGGAAGAACTAGATGGCTGGCAGGGAGGGCAATGGGTAAGAAACTGACTTTTCCGTATTAATCTTGTTGAATATGGTACGTGTACATCTATAACTGTTAAAATGCATAAATACTATATCTAATTATTAGTGACTGAGTTATAAATGGCCCTACAGGAAGTTAGAGTTATGAGCGTTCATGTTATGCCCTTGCTTAAATCCTTGAGGACTACTCACTTCCTGTTCAGTTTATCTCTCGCCACTTCTCACACTCCACACTCTGGCCATTTACATGCCAATCTGCTTCCATCTCCTGCCTTCGCTCAGATTCTAGATTCTCTCTGCTAAGGACAGGTTGATGATTTGTCTTCCCTGGTCAGCTCTTATTCACTTTCTACCAAGCAGATCTGACAGCATTGCTTCTGAGATACTTGCTCCCCCTTCTGTTTACCTTTGTCTTAGCACATATTATATTGTTCTATAAAGGTCTCTCTTGCTTGTCTTTCTGCAGCAGGATTTGAGGTCTTTGAACATGGGAACCATACTGTTCATTTTAGTGTTCTTAGGACTTTAAGATGATTTTTATTCACCTCATTCTTCGTTTCCTTTTTTCTGTGGGTCTATAGCCCTTTGTGTAAAAAACAGATTCCCAACTCCTATACAGAGACAATCTGTCCCTGCCTTTTCTGAATATAGTAGTTTTGTATTATGTTAGATGTATGAGACATAATGTAAAATAAATGAGTTTATGCTTTGGAGAGAAGTCCTGTAGTATAAATGATTTACTAGTGAAAGGGACAAGAGCTAGATGGGCAGAAAGCTGGGTTCTGATGATTTTCTTTATGGATATTTGATTAGTAAATTTCCTAAGTCAGAGATCCTAATTTTAGATGCATGTTTTTTCCAGCCTCTTTTCCTAATGGTAGTTTTTTAAAAAGGGCGGATTCATGATCCTGATTTAAACCCAAATTTCTTCTGAGGAAATATTATAGACTAACCTTTTTTTATTCAACAGCTTTATTGAGATATAATTCATATACTGTCCCATTTACCCACTTAAAGTGTGCTCTTCAGTGGGTTTTAATGTACTCACAGTCAATTTTAGAACATTTTTATCACCTTAAAAAGGAGCTCTATAGTAGCTATAACCCTTTCATTCCCTCATTTCCGCATCAAAACCATAAGCAGCCACTAATCTATTTTCTGTCTCCGTAGATTTGCCTGTTCTGGACAGTTGATATAAAGGAACTTTTATAATGTATAGTCTTTTGTGACTGACTTCTCTCACTTAGCATAATGTTTTCAAGCTTCATCCATGTTGTAACATTTATAAGTATGCTCTTCCATTTTATGGCTGAATGATATTCCATTGTATGGATATACCACATTACATTTATCCATTTGTTAGTTGATGGACATTTGGGTTGTTTTCACCTTTTGGCTATTATGAATAATGATGCTATGAAAATTCATGTACAGACTAGACTTCTTTTAAATGAACTCATTGATTCCTGTATCCCATCTTTGCCTGTGTGACCTTTCCCAAAATGTCAGGATTCTTTTGGTCAGGAGAGTTATCACTAATATTAAAGATATACCAACTTCACTGTCAATCTTTCCTAAAATTTCCGGATACTAGTTTCCTCTTTGAGATGTCCAGAATGATTATCTTAGAGGAAGAGTGCATTTAGCCCATGGAAATTGTCCGCAGGTTACTTCAGCCTACTTCTTTAATCCCTTGGAATTCTGTGATTTTAATTTTTAACTAGTTACTTGTCTACTTTGTTGATTGGACAATAACTATAAGCACTATGGGAACCTTGGTTGCAAAGTGGTTAAAGTGCTTGGCTGCTAACCAAAAGGTTGGCAGTTCGAACCGACCAGCTGCTCCGTGGGAAAAAGATGTGGCAGTCTGCTTCTGTAAAGATTTACAGCCTTGGAAACCCTACGGGGCAGTTCTACTCTGTCCTGTAGGGTTGCTATAAGTTGGAATTGACTCAACAGCAGTGGGTTTGGTTTTTTTTTTTTTTTTTGGTTTGTTTGTTTATAACGACTACGGTTTAACCATTTGGGAGGTAAGATTAAATCGTTTCATTCTATTTGGATCAACTGTCAACATTCATGGACACAGCAGTCAAGAAGTCAAACGATAAAGAAGAAAAACGTAAAGTCTCAGTAAACACAAAATCTACAAAAACAAAAGAAAAGAAAACAAAATCCACAGACAAAAGGAATTTAGCACAGGAAAGCAAGAGGAACAAAGAAAACATCAGCACCAAAAAAAAAAAGCACTACAAAATGACAGCAATAAACTCACACCTATCGATAATCACACTGAACATAAATGGCTTAAATGTACCCATAAAGAGACAGAGAGTGACAGAATGGGTAAAAAAGACAGGACCCATCAATATGCTGTCCACAAGAGACATGCCTTAGAAACAGAGGAATAAATATATTAAAAATCAAAGAATGGAAAAAATGTATCACGCAAACAGCAACCAAAAAAAGAGCAGGAGTGGCAATACTAATCTCAGATAAAATAGACTTGAAAACAAAATCCACCATAAATGACAAGGAAGGACATTATATAATGATTAAAGGGACAGTGCGCCATAAGAACATAACAATCATAACCCTAATAAATATCTACACACCCAATGTCAGGCCTTCAAAATACAAAAAAACAAACTCTTTAACAGCACTGAAGAGACAAATTGACAATTCCACAATAATAAACTTCAACACACCACTCTCAGTAAAGACAGAACATCTAGAAAGAAACTCAGCAAAGATACAGAAGATCTAAAAGCCACACTCAACCATCTTGACCTCATATACATATGTATATAACACTCCAACCAACGGTATCAAAGTATACATTCTTTTCCAACATACATGGAACATTCTCCAGAATAGACTGCACCTTAGGCCACAAAGCAACCCTTAACAAAATCCAAAACATTGACATAATACAAGACATCTTCTCTTATCACAACACCATAAAAGGAGAAATTAATGACAGAAAGAGCAAAAAAAAAAAGAAAATCAACTAAATGGAAACTGAATAACAGCTTGCTTAAAACCCACTGGGCGACAGAAGAAATCAAAGAGGGAATCAAAAAATTCCTAGAATCAAATAAGAATGAAAACGCATCATACCAAAACCTTTGGGACACAGCAACAACAATGCTCAGAGGTCAATTTATACCAATAGATGCACACATCAAAAAAGAAGAAAGGAACAAAATCAAAACATTAGCTACACAACTCTAACAAATAGAGAACAGCAAAAGAAACCCACAGCCACCAGAAGAAAGGAAATAATAAAGATCAGAGAAGAAATAAATGAAATAGAAAACAGAAAAACAATAGAAAGAATCAACAAAACAAAAAGTTGGTTCTTTGAAAGCATCAACAAAATTGACAAACCATTGGGCAAATTGACAAAAGAAAAACAGGAGACGATGCAAATAACCCAAATAATAAATGAAATGGGACACGTTACAACAGACCTAACCAAAGTAGAAAGGATCATAGCAGAGTATTATGAAAAACTATACTCCAACAAATTTGAAAACCTAGAGGAAATGGACAAATTTCTAGAAACACTACCTACCCAAACAAATACAAACTGAAGTTGACAATCTGAACGGACACATAAGAAGAGAAGAGATTGAAAAGGTAATAATAATAATAATAATAAAAGACAAAAAAAGTCCAGGTCCAGCTGGCTTCACTGGAGAATTCTACCAAACATTGAGAGAAGAGCTCACTCCCGTACTACTCAAACTGTTCGAGAACATAGGAAAGAAAAGGATACTTCCAAATTCACTGTATGAAGCCAGAATAACCTTGATAGCAAAACCAGGTAAAGACACCACAAAAAAAGAAAATTACAGACCAATATCTCTCATGAATATAGATGCAAAAATTCTCAACAGAATTCTAGTCAATAGAATTCAGCATCATATCCAAAAATAATACACCATGACCAGGTGGAATTCATACCAGGTGTCCAAGGATGGTTCAATAGTAGAAAATCAAACAACATAATCTACCACATAAATAAGACAAAAGAAAAGAATGACATGATCATCTCAATCGATGCAGAAAAGGCATTTGATAAAGTCAAACACCCATTCCTGATGAAAACTCTCAATAAAATGGGAATAGAAGGGAAATTCCTCAACACTGTTATGGGCATCTATACAAAACCAACAGCCAGGCTCCTCCTCAATGGAGAGAGGCTGAAAACATTCCCTTTGAGAACAGGTACAAGACAAGGATGCCCTTTATCACCACTCCTATTTTACCTTGTGCTCAAAGCCCTAGCTAGAGCAATAAGACAAGAAAAAGAAATAAAGGGCATCCAAATTGGTAAGGAAGAAGTAAGACTATCCCTGTTTGTGGATGATATGATACTATACATAGAGAACCCAAAAGACTCCATAAGAAAACTACTGAAACTTGACAAATTCATCCGCCTATGAGCAGCTGATATTTGACAAAGGCCCAGAGTCCGTTAATTGGGAAAAGATAGTCTCCTTAACAAACAGTCCTGGCATAACTGGATATCCATCTGCAAAAAACTGAAAAAAGGCCCATACCTCACACCATGCACAA